CTGCAAGGTGGCACCTGAGCGACCGAGGGGAAGGGATGGGGCGGGCTGCGCGTCTATAAATACCTACAAATATTTCTTGTTCTCGTACACATCGTGAAGTTTGAGGACGTGTGGGTGCTCGATGAGCTTTAGGATGGCGATCTCCCTCTCCACCTGGGGGAGGGGGGGTGGACAGGGGTACAGGAATGGAGGTGAGCAGGAGGTCTCTCCTTGCCCCTCCCCGAGGCATCACCCGCCACACACACACACACCTTCATTAGAACGGACTCCGACAACTTCTCCCGGTTCACGATCTTGATGGCGACCTTCTGGCCAGTGATACAGTGGACACCCAGTTTCACCAGCCCTGGGGAGGGGGGAGAGACAAGGCTAATCAAGGGGGGAAGAGGGGCCTGTTCCCTTGACTGTCCCCTTCCCTCCTCCTTGCCCTTGCAGGCTGGTAGACTCAAGGAGCCGGGTGGAGTAGAGGTGCCACATTGGGTTGGGAAAACCCAAGGTCCGGGGTTCAAGCCCATTAACGGCCCCTCGGGGAGAAAGATGAGGCTGCCTGCTCCCCTTAAAGAGTGATAGTCCTGGAAACCCACTGGGGCAATTCTTCTCCATCCTGTAGGATCGCTCTGAGTGGGGATGGACTAGGCAGCTTGGTTTGGACTGGGAACACTCCACAGGGATGCCGACAGATGCTGTTCCCATAAAACACTCCACCCTCGCTCCCCATTCGGTCACCTGCCACAGCCCCTCAACAACTGCCCTGCCCTCCCTGCTCTGGCTGTTCCCTGACTCTTGCCCCATCCTCGGTCTCTCCAATTGGAAACCCCTCTAAGCTTCGTCTCATCTCCTTAACTCCTCCTTGCCTTGAATTCTCCACCCTTCATTCTCCTCTAGACTCATCGGGTCTCCCAACACAGGTAAGCTCATCTTGGCCCGCACCCCAACCGTGCTCCACATCTCCCCAGACCCCCACCCACCCTTCCTCAGCATGCAGTGCTCAAGGAGATGGCCCAAGGGTTTAGGCCCTCAGCCCCCTCCTCTGTCAGACCTAGGAGTCAGGGACCCCAGCCCCCCTCCTTCAGAGCCAGGAGTCCAGACCCCCAGATCCTTCCTCCTTCTCACAGACCCTGCACCCTCAAACTAAGGAGTCCAGCCCCTCAGCTACCTCCTCTCTCACACCTAAAAGTCAAGGACCCCACACTCTAACTCGGAAGTCGGGAACCCTAACCCTCCGTTCTCAGACCCAGGAGTTCA